GGGGGGGGGGGGCAATGGGAAAGCGTGCGCGTGTGTGTGTGTGTGTGTAACTGATTGCATGCGTGAAGCCAGATGTGGGCAGTAATAAAAAAAAAAGAGGCCGAAATACTAAAAAAATATTTATAATATATGGATACAAGTACAAATTACTTCGATTACTGAGCGTAGGTGTATTGATGTGTGAACAAAATTTGGTTGGCCAATGACCGTTTTTTGGAACCATCATACTGCGTATCAAAGTATGTAAAATTTATTGAATAAACGCTAGCGTATTATGATGATAGAACGTAATCTAATAATGTAATATTGTAATGACGAGTCTAAATGATGAAATTAATTTGAGGTTTAGAAGAGCGCGCGCGCGTGACGAAGAATCTGTGCACGTATGAGAAGGGTGTCGAGGAATACATGAAAGTTGATTGAGCAAAGAGAGAGAGAGAGAGAGAGAGAGAATGTGTGTGCGCACGTGTATGCATGCGTAAAAGTACCGAGCGAGAAAAAAAAGCAAAAATTTACTAGAAAAGAATGATACAAAAAAAAAAGAGTGAGAACAAAGCCAGCAAATGAAGAATAGCCAGAAGAAAGCAAGGAGCGTTGAGTAAGATAAAGGAAGAATTTATCGCGGCATACGAGATTATAAAAAAAAAATTACATTATTATCATTACGATTACAATTATCGAGTTATGATTGCGAATTATAATTATCGAAGCATCGCCTATATTCTCCATCGCTGTTAACTGTCATTGCCAGGATCATTGATGATCGTTGCCATTGTCGATCGCTGTCGATCGTTAAGGGTTGATTGCGACTACTGTTATCAATAGTATCGCCGTTGCGCGTGAAACGAGCGAAAGGTATAGGTTGTACATGACTTTTGAGACACACTATACTGTATTATTATTATATTCGGCAAAAAGCGAACTTCACGATTAAGAGATGTAAGAGGAAACGAAAATTTTTACGTGTATTCAAAAAACAAAAATTATATGAAAAACAAAAAATAAAAATATTCACTGACATCCACATTTAAGGAAACAAGCGAACGAGTATGCTGAACATAAAACGCGTATTGTATGTTTTGCACTGAAGTAACGAAGGTGCGAATGAATGATTCCGTGAGAGTGCGAGTGTATGGGAATGCGCGGAATGCATCGCGGGAGAATCTGAGCGAGAGAGAGAGAGAGAGAGAGAGAGAGAATAAGGGTGAAAGTTCACACGCAAAATTTGTTTGCGCGGGAACCTACTGACGGCCTATGCGGTACACGAATAAAAAAGTGTATTAATTCGATACGCTCGCGTGTAGTGTCACTTTTTAAACGTGAACGCAAAACGAAATATTTAGGAGGAAATGGTATTGAGAGTCAGAGAGAGAGAGAGAGAGAGAGAGAGAGAGAGAGAGAGAGAGAGAGAGAGAGAGAGAGAGAGAGTCGAGAGGAAGGAAGGATAGAGAGCGAGAGAGACGGATAGGGAGATTGAAAGAGAAGGAATAAGGTGGAATATTGCACAACGAACCGAGTCCCGCACGTGACGGCAGTGACGGCGCGTTTCCCTGGGGCCTCGCGAAATTCTATTTTTGTAAGCATATTTCTATAAAGGGTATACTAACGATATGGCAAAATTTATTATTCCTAGTGGAGCGAACAAGAAAATTGAACGTTTAGATTTCGTTAGTATAGTGTAAAAAATTAACGATGTCTAGGTCCTATTCGTGTACTTAAAAGGGGTTAAAAAAGAGTAAATTATATGTCGACGGCGGTAGGTTGTAAAATTGTACATAAATTGCAAGAGGAGGCCCTTGTGAGAGTCGTCTCGCCGTTGCGCGCTGGTTCGCGGTTTTAAGGAAGAACAAAAAATTGATTAAAAATTAATCACGTATATAGTTTATGTAATATGTAACATACACAGTGAGGGTTTGCGAGGATAAGAGTGATCCTTATTGAGGAGGAGAGACTCTAGGAAAACCTTATGGCCGGCAAAGGTGTCCCGCGTAAATCGCATCGCAGCGCATTAGACCGTCTCGTCTGTAAAATGACGTAAAAACCCACGAGCCACCGCCCCTTTGAATTAATAATTGTTTGAAATTCAAAATTATGACAAATTCCTAACTGGTCAATTAGGGGCGGCGGTTGGTCCTAGACGATTAGGATTCGAGGCTCGGACGAGTCATTCTCTTTCGTATCTTTTATCTTTTTGCGAGAAACGCGCGCGTGAGTGATTTCCAAAAAAAAAAATAGCGAATACAAAAATATTGGAATTAATGAAAACAGGTGAAAAGCAAAAATCGGATAAGATCATGCAAGTGCGAAAAGTCGAGTCAATAGACGCGAGAAAAAAGATAAAATTTTCAACGAGAGAAAGAGAATTATAATTTATTGAATTTTTCGTAAAAATTCGTATTTCGAAAAAAATAAACATTTGTGCGCCAGTGTGTAACTGGCTTTGTAAGCTTTGTGCATACTCGCGCGCAAAATGTCACTATTAGGTATACACAAAAAAAAAAAGATACACCTAGCAAGAGCGCAAGAATATTAAGCAGAACACGTATGGCCAGATAAAAAAGATGAAGTGTGAGTAAAAAATGAGAGAGAGAGAGAGAGAGAGAGAGTGCGCAAGTGTGAGAGAATTATTTAAAAAAAAATTGTATGAATGTTAGGTACAGAGAGTGAGAGTGAGAGAGCGATTGGGTGAGAGTGAGAGAGTGGTAGTGTGCGCGAGAGAAATTATCACAGGACACTCATAGGAGACACACTCTCACCCTCCACAGAGCGAGACACACAATATTATATATATATACGACTCCATAGATGATGGCGCGGCACACTCACATAGTGTCTCTCGGATTGTTCCACAAAACTTTTCATTCGAGTTTGCTTCAAGAAACCTTCTGTTTTCTAATGTATGACGTGTTGTTGTCGATATATATAAAATAAACTTAATAAAAAAATACATGAGACTTTTCTATCGTTACCTTGTAACCCTCATAATAGATACTTCCTATCCCCATTGTACGTGGACATAGTTGATCGTCGACAGGCTTATCCAAGAAGCTCTTGGTTCATGAAAAGTTCCCAACGTTCCACAATGTCAATCCGTCATCTTTTCCTGAATAGTATCCAGCCGAGCACAGTGACAAATAAGCAAACGGCTACGGACTAAAATCGCGAGCCAAGGATCCTTGGAGGGTCCCCCAAGTTCCATTGTAACAAAAGGCCGACTCGTTCCACGTGCGAGACTTAAGCAACACGCTTCATTAGCCCGTTAATGAATTTTCAACACTTTAACGCCCCAGCGCCTCGGAAATATAACCAATGAACTCATTTTCACACTCGGCTGACTCGTGTCTTCGCGTAGGCCCATCCTTTGCCCATCGCGCCATTGCTTGCACGGCAAACAAGTGGCAAGTACGATGAGGGGGCGAAGGAGGTAAGGGCATCCAAGGGAGACCAAGGGGCACCCATTGACACACCGACAGCTCGTATATCATCTACTTCCAGCCGCTTCTTAGAATATTCATAAATTCTCGCCAGAGGGCTACGAGAGGTTTATTTAGCAGTGGCGATCCTGTTGTCGAGTGGCTCAAGTCATTTGGGATTCAAGTGGCGCGTCGGTAAGTAGGAAGCTCTACTTGACCGACCGAGCCTATGAATATACCGACTGCGAATTCAGAGTTTTCCTCGAGTGCCTCTGCACAAATGTAATCTCGCGGCACGGTAAAGATTTTCTATGAGAGAGCATGCATGTACCTTGCGTAGTTAAACATGCACGAGAATTTCCCATGAAAATTGATGCATTGCACGGTTGATGACGAACTGACTGACCAATGCATATACTATATCTGCGAATCAGTTAGAGATGTCTATAAATCTAATATAAACGATAATTGAAATAATTTTGAAATCCTTAATGATAAGACAAATGACGACTTTTAATTAAAAGAATCAAAAATTCACTTATATTCCTGAGAGGAAGTGGTAGAATAGTTTTAATAAAGTAATCCAAGTGTAATTAAAACTATGGCGGAGAAGCGTAACATCTTTATTGTTAAAAAAAAAAGGTGAAAACGGATTTCAGAAAGAGGTATTTAAATTGTTGCGGAACGGATGTAGAGTAGTCTGTGATTAAAGGTACGAACCGGTTTTTCAGGCCACCCTGTAGTTACGGGACTTGAGGAAATCTCCAGGTTCCAGCTTCCAGAGATTCAGTATCCACACTCCAAGATATCCCACAGTCGGATCTAATCTGATCTGATATGATTGTGACAGGAAACAGAAAGGAAAGGGTAAAAAGGTATCTTATCTATACCTTGATCCTTGATACCTTGGGTACACTATGTAACTTAAATTAATGGCTGGTACCACGTTGACGGGTAAGCAAATTAACAGAGGTCGCTACGCTTCTACTGTTCTCACTTGATCCTATACCTTCTATGTATATATACCTTATATTCAAAATAGAATACAAGAGCCGTACTCTATTAGCATTGACAAATAGCCCGGCCATTGCCTTGCAAATGGATTTTCGAAGCTGTTCCACGCTAACGCGTGTTCTCAAATCTTTCTGTTCGTCAGTTCACCTTTGCCACGTGCTCCAGGAAGCAGAGTACATTCTCGAAAAAAAAATTTTTGACTCCTAACTTTTTTTTGAATTTCAACTAAAATTAACCCCTGTTCACTCAATATTTCATATATCACAGAGATCTATGATCATTTTGTAAGAAATATTTGTGTACGCCTACTGTGTTCTAAAAAATGATATAATTTGTGCAAGTACCACGTAACTGAAATGGATACTGAAATTTCATAGTGATATCGCTACAGAGTGCAGCTTAAGCTATTACAATAAAATCCTTGAGAGATTCGCGCGACAATGTGATACGTCTTCCTATCTTGATACTCAGCGACGGCGTCGTTGAGGAAATGTGCATATACGTATGCGCCTATACGGACTAGCATCATCACGTACTAAGCGACAGTCATTTGTGAGAATCTCTGTGGAATATAAGTAAGTATACGTAACGAGCGACAAACCGGGAGAGTTCAGTTGGTCGCGCCAATGTGGACTGCGACAGGAGCCTAAGAGCGTAATACGGTTATACGATGCAGAAGTGCAGAGAAAAGAGGTCTCGAAATAAACCGGCAGTGTGGCTGACCCCTTATACGTATCATGGCTTTGGACTCTTGCGTTACGTACGCGAAAGAGAGAGATGGCAGTATGGTATTAAGTTAAAGAATAAAAAAAGAGAAGATGATCAACAGATGTATTTATGTACAATGTATGATTGGGGCGTTGTTGGCCAGCCAGCATTCAGTCGAACTCTCACATGATCTCATGATTATTTCTGGAGTCTGCCGATACCGATTCGGCGATCGCAGATTGAAAAATTCCGCAACACGAAAAATTTCTGAACACATACGTATAAAGTATAAAGATGGCATAAGTAAAATCTGACAGTGACAATTATCATGACAATGGAAATTAATATTTTAAATTCTATTTTTTTTTATAAAAAAAAAACTTACAGGATTTGTAGGCGCCAGACGTATCGTGATGAATGTCGCTTGGTAAGGAATATAGAATCATCAGTGGTGTTCATTTGCGTCCCGAACAGTGAAAATCAACTCGTCAATTTATATACTTTTAGCTCGGATTGTACGGTAAACGGGCAAATTGTGGCTACAATGTTGCATAAACCTGTACAGTCACTCCGCGAAATATGAGACCGTATTAAATTTCCAAAGGCACGCGGAATCCAGTTTTACTCTCTGGACGATCGAGGTTAGTTTTACCGGTACTTTCTTAAGGGACAGCACGAAACCGTACGTTGTCTCGCGGGTAGACAACTCTTTGTGTTACCTTTTTTTTCTCATTTTATTATTTGTCCCTTCGCACTGTCAACTCAAATGCGTATTTTATTAGCTACGGTATATCTGGACCAATGTTAAACTGCATACCGGGACTATTATAGCCACAACCAAGAGCGCCTTCTTCGAACGCGGTGATTGCTGCCTAAGTATGTAAATGAGCAACAATACATGTGGCGAATATCAAAGGGATGGAGGAGCGGGGGGGGGGAGTTAATTAACCGGTAATTAATTTTATCGAAAATTTTAATTTTCTCGAATCAGTTGATGGACAGTGTCACGATAGAAATTAAAAAAACGATACTTGCACCGATCAGTTATTCTGATAAGAAGTATCGATTATATAATCTACGCGTGGTTAAAACTTTCGATGCATCGAGGCGAGAGAGAGAGAGAGAGAGGGGCGAATGGGGGGAGGAGGGAAGAGAGAGAGATGAAAGATATACAAAATTTGCTGAAAAATAAAGAAAAAAAAAGGATGAATTAATAAAGAAATCGAAGACCGTATAATTAATTAAACTCTGATATTTCCAACGCGTTTGTTTTTTCGCTCTCGATTAACAGTCCTGGACCTATAGCCTTTATACATTTTCTAACCGATCAGCCCGCAATTGCATGGTTAATTAATGAGAGCGCTTCTCGCTACTCCGTAGAGGTTGTAACAAAATATTTTGATCGTTTCGAAAAATCGTTATCGGAACACCCTGTAGACAGAAAATCTGTCACTCGGTCTCCGCCAAACACTAACGGAATACGAATTTATGGGCTACCGTCTGCAATTATCTGAGTAATGATTACAACAGTAGCGGCACATAGCTACCGGGTGTACAGTTAAGATCTCTCCACTTCAGTGAAGGATCTTCTTACTGCGATACAGGATCGATCCCCTGCAAAAGCTGTCTTGAAATTTTTCAAAAAGTCAAAAAATTGCCTGATATATTTTTTGTGGACGTGCGTGAGAAAAAAAAATGAAGTTTTCAGTGATTAACTAATAAGCTGAAAGCAAAGACTACTCAAGGATCATTTTCCGCAAAAAATGCAGACAATTTCTAACGATATCAACATACGACGCTATCAGCGTCCCGACGCCTTATCGCTCGCTCGCTCATGTCCTCGTCTGCGAAGTACCTACTACCTATCTCGGCTTAATAACCGACATGGGGGCAAATGTCGGGACGCGTAGAGGGGATATCAGGTTCACTTGAACGACCTTGTAGATTGATGAATGACAACTAATGACAAAGAGCGCACGTGAAAGATAAAACATTTTTGTTAATTGCCAACATTAAAAATTACTTTGAGTTCACCCATGGTTACACATACCAATACTCCTCTTACAAAGATTACTATGATAATATTTCCTTAAAAAAAGTAGCGAGGGGTACCAATCATCGTGGGATAAAAAAAAAAGTAGATCGAAATCGTCCAATTACGTAACCTCGATTAGATAGAATACCCAATTAAAAATATAACATTGACCTTCGTTTCTTTGAAAAATCGTCACGACCTACCTAAGACTAATGTTAAAATACAAATAACGTCTACAGAAATAATAACGATCCATCGATCATTGGATCAGTTCAGTTATTCAGGCAAATCTCGTGTACTTTGGGATGAAGATTAAAAAACAAAATTATTAGATCAATCGAATTATTGCTAGATCGACAGATCGTACTCTCGCCTGTTCCTATTGGCTGGAATGATGTACGATACGTGTGTCCTCGCAATGCAAGTGACGGAAAAATATTACCGATAAGAGATAACAAAATACGTGCCGCGAGATCGTGTCAAAGAGCGCGCCATTCGTGGCTGCCACTTGCACTGACGTTATCGCAGCGAAGTAAAACAATTTATTGCAAAAATGTAACATATTAAGCGCACCCAACGATATAATGTGTACACTGTACATAAACATGTTATCTCGTTTGCCACAGCGATACATGGTATATTAATACATCATTCGTCGCTGATACGACCAGAATGACCTGATAATATTCGAAATATAATTCCCCCTTTACGTTTTCTACCAGCTTTCACTATTTGCTCGGTAGTTCCTCCTCGCGTCGTGATTCCGGCTAAATAGAAAATTCTTAGCTCCTCGACTGGGACGTAGAGATTGTTCATTTTCATCATCGTCTTCATCACGACTGCCAACGCGTCTCAATGGTGACGCTAAGCAAACGACTTGCAGCTAACAAACGTTCAGCTAGTAGCCTCCCGATAGCCGCAGGCAATGGGAGGTTCTTTGAGAAGATTACATCGGATTTTTGTATTTATTTTCCAGTAACATTTTTCAATCGCAAACAGAAACACGGTGCCCCAGTGCCTTTTGCACGGGTCGATCGTGGATGGAGCATAATATCTTTCTCCCCTATATCTTCCAATATGAAAATCAGGTACGGGAGTATATACGGTGATAAAAAATTTTTAATTGGTTCATTGGTTAATTTTATTAATAATCAACGACAGTGACACTATGATAATCGAGCGATAACGCGAGTAGGCCAACGTGATCAATAACTTTAAGGATTTATCGCGAGTCGTACTTACGGGCTAGTTCACGCAAGGCTTTTAAAACAAACTTGGGTAGTGTACGTAACAAAGGATGTAAAATGTAAAAATTAATAATTTTTCTTATTTTCCATCTATCCATTTTTCAGCCACCAACTGCCGGACATTCGTAGCCAACGATACATCTCGAAAAGACATGTGAATATAAATTTGAATCCGATATAAGACGATTTCGAATATCAACCAATGACCTTTATCCCTGACCTCGAAAATAACGAACTCTTCGGGATCTCAGAAATTCACTTGTTTTACATAGTTACCAACGGTATCATACACATTCATGAGACAATCTTCATCCCTTTTTTTTAATACACGATCATTATTCATCCTGCCCATCTCCCGATCCCACTTCCATTCGCGTTACACGTGTCTCCGAGGAGGCTGATTCTGCATCTCATTTGCTCCGATACAAGGGATGCTGTCGCATCGAGTCCTACCAACCTTCCACATTCGTAAACCGAACCGTACATTCTTACTTCGTTCGCCAAGCATACCAACCCAACGCCAACTATACGCGTGCCTGCCTATCTAGCTGTTTGGTCCATGGTGCGCGGTTTCAGCCGCGAGGAAGATGGATGGTGCCGATCGAGATAGTTGCAACAGCGCTACTTTGTACAGAGAAACATATGTATACGTTACAAGTGTGTCACGGTGGGATACGAGTGAGATTGTCGAAGTTGGCAATGCTCGTGAGAGAGGGAGAGATACATATTACGTATAATAAAAAGTGGGAGAGAAGCAGAGTACATTCTCCAACGACGAAGTATATATATCTACCACCATTCTGCTATATACCCACATCCGGTTGACGTCCACCGGAGTATGAACATGCACATAGATATAGTGCTGAGAAAATAGAAAAGAGTGGGGAATATATATATATATATATATATATATATATATGTATTAACAATCATTTAAGTCATTCAGCGACGTGTACGATTGACTTGGTACAAACGTATTAAATTACGCCTGAACTTACTTACCTTTGTATCTCAAGCGTTAAGATGGTAGCGATGCGTGTACATGCACACGTGTCATGCGCATATGCACAATTCTTGAGAAGTGCGTAACCCTAGATGGTACTGGTTGATAAACAAAAGAGATACACGTTGAGAAGGCAAGAACCGAACAAGTTCTTCGTGCATTGTGTGTGTAATGTATCGAGGATGCACAGCAGGACAATACGATACTTTGTACTACCTCACGAACCAATGTGCAGTACGTTCGATGACGAAAGCGTGAAAATAAAAATATACGGGATAAACTGCTATCGGTATGTTAGCGTATGGGGACTAGGTTACTTTTGTGGGAACTAGAGTCACGTGTGTTATATGAAAATCTGCTCGCGCGATGAATACGAAATAACGTTGAAAATGCTGACGAGCTTTATAAATTTTGGAAATATTTACTGACACGCTCGGTGAGATATGTTTTCCTATATGTATATAGGGTTATTCGTGACAAGCTCACCACCTGAAGGTGGTTCTACCGTAGAAAACAGACAGGCTAACTTCGGGCGATGCATTTATCATACTATAATTTTGTCAAAGGCCTATTTCCAGGACGCGCGGCACTCAAAATGGCAAATCGATGTTTTTTTGTTTTTTTTTAAAAACTAAACTTTGGACAGTGACGTTGGAGTTCTAACCTAATCTAACCTAAGGAAACCATTTTTTGGCCCATCAGAACTCCGATTGTCTAGCATAAAATTTTTTTTGGAAAATTCTGTGTGAACGCCGCTTTGTATTCTTAAAAGCATGCGTTACACGTTAAAATACCTCCAGATGCGTCCTAGAAGTTATCAAGTGTCCTGATAACTGCCAATACGCAACAGAAAAAATTTTGAAACTCACCTTTCAACAAGTTAATATTGTTTTAAGCTTTGGGATATTCCGTAGGTATTGGGAAAAATTATATGCATTAATGTATCTTTCTGTGATTTCACATGTTGCTTATGGAAACATTGTGGGAGGTTCCTTTTGATTCTAGTGACGATTTAACATATTGGGACACTCGAGGTTATGTACTATTGGTATTCTTCGTATAGGACTTCTGCTAGGACTTAATAATTGGTATGATGAGGAATCTTCTTTTTGACAAAGATTGATAGTGTTCTTTAACAACGTATGGAATACTGTTAATTTTAAGAGACTAGTTTCATTCGGAATTAGCTACGGTGCCGATCGCTGCATTGCTATTTCTGCTGGTACAGTCCCTGCGGAAATTTCATTGATTCGAGATAAGATTGGCGTCACGATGCTAGGATAACTGCCCGAAGTAGTTTTTCGAAACTTTTTAAGATTAAAGAAAATATTATATTTCAAAAATTCTACAATTCTGTATAGCGGTTAAACTAACCGAATTATATTAATTGTATTATGCTGTATAATATATAATGATAAAGATTTCTTGAAGATCTTTAAAGTGATATAAGCGTCACTTCAGGTTTGTACAAATGTGAATCAAACTTTCCCTCTGACGCAATTGAACGACCCGATCAGCGAGGGAGACTTATGAAAATAAAAATATTGATCGATGTGTAGTACTTATTAACAGTCTGAATAATAAATGTAATATAGACACCTTCCTGAATCTATAACCCATAGATACGTTACGCTCGAAGAAGTTTAATATGTTATCAAGATTTTATTACCATGAACTTTAATACAGAAACCGGAAAGTATAGAAAATACTTGTCCGGTTGCTAATAAGAAAAATCACCGATACAGCATCGCTTTTTTAGTTGATAAATAAACATTAGTTTTAACATTTATTATTGCTTGATAAATTTACGATTTTTCGTTATAAAAAAGTAACGTCAGTAAAAATTTTAATTTTACAACTCTCAAGTATCAGAAAATATATGAAATCCATCAGGATTATTATCGTCTATAAAATTTTCACGATTTATATTACACACATATATATATATATAATCATCATAGAAAAATGCCGACTAACCTTTGTACTTCTGACTTAGCAAACACATTTCTGATTCGTTCAAAGCTAAGGATTGCAGGCTGATAGTAAAGCAAGTTTTATCGTAAAGTCTCGACGTTATTGCTTGCTTCGGCTTGGTTCACCTCCTATAACTTCCTATATCCTGCTAACAGTCGTTTCGCTCAAGTTGCCAAACGCAAAACACACACGTTACTGAAACCAAGAAAAGTTTTACAGCACGCCTGTACAGTCCATACTATAGCTCACCTATCGAGGTTCTAACCGAGTGTCTGTGTCTGTATATATACCTAATATAGATAGGAAGACTCATGAGTATCTCTACGAGTTCACGTCTGTTTTCCAGCTGTTCGATATTCCTCGATACCCTTATGATACTGGACCACGACCTCCAGTTTGTGAAGAGTTGACCGGAATGAACCCTGAAGACCGACACACATATGAGCTCCTCACTGGGTATGCCTTATCCGCGAATAAATGACATGTGTATCTTAATGAGCTCATCAGGAAGGCAGGGTCCACTAAGTAAGTAACTTCATAAGTAAAAATTTCGAACTGGAATTGGAGCATTGTTTACGGGTTACGAAAAAAAATGGATGATTTTTCGATCATTTCGAGGTCGCGATATACGTAACGTGTCTGGGCAGAAAGTGAAGTTGAAAAAATCGGTGAAAAAAAAATTCGATTAAATACGAGTTAATTAACGAGATTTATTAAAAACGACAATCCTAATCTCTGTGAATGAGTGGTTCAGTGAGTAGCAATAAGTGATAGCGCCGTTGAATAGAGGGTTCAAGGGATTGTTTTAGCCGATTGTTGTATCGTAATGGTGATTCAAGAAGTGCTGCACTGTTTGATAATAACACGTGTTGACGTAAGAAATTTATGAGATCGTTACGTAATTTTCAGCGATGCGTGACTGTATAAGTGCAGAATAATTAATGGCGCGTGTCGTCTTTAATATCATAATAATAGATTTAATTAATGATCTCGCTTATGAGTGGTAACACGCAGGTGTACTTTATAATAAGGATTCACTTGTGAGACCGCCTTCACGAGTACAGGGTGCATCGACGCTTACCGTGTTAAATCATTTTATTCTTCACTCGATAATCCAATTTATCAGCGAAGACTCAAAGGTTCACTTTGAATCGTTTTGCTTTATGCTCGTTCCGCGCTTATCAACGTCGGATAACGATCTCATTTTTTTTTAATATGATATCAACACGTTTTCATATACAGTAAGGAATAATTTTTTAATTTGATAAAAAGGGAAAATATTACACGTTAATTCAGACGCTGATATAACAATGATCATTGGTCAAGATAATCCGTTGGTCGATAAGGATGAACGTTCGGACCAAAAATTCGAATAGACTCAGGAGTCTTGAAATTCCGTGGAAAAATATGCAAAGGAGAAAGGATAAGAGATTTAAAAAAAAATATGGCGTTGTTGACCTCCACCTCGTAATTTAGCAAAAAAAAAATAACCGGTTTGCGGTGCATCAAAAAGTGTTGAGGTGCCTTCCTGCTGAAAATTCACGATATAAGTGGGCCCACTCGACAAGACATTTGGGCCTGTATATATCGTACTTGATTGCGGTCCAGTCAAATATATCGAGAATAGAAATATTTGGGACATCGACTCTGACTGTTGAACCATTTGAGGCTGGCCTGCCTACCTGGTTGTCCAAATGATTTTGCATGAAAGAACCAAACGGTCGAGAGATCGAGAAGAAGCAGCTACGTCAACCAGGAATCATGGTACAAATTTCTTTCTCTACTCACTTTTGGTCTTCTGGTTCTGTTATTCCTTTTCAACACGCACACTGGGGCCCAATTATATCGACTCTTCTTCCCGTTGGTAACCAAACTGAAATACCTTACCTGTAATGAGAACCTCGTATAATTTTCACTGACATGCTCTTGGGATAATTGTGGTCCACCTTCTGGGATTGGTAGCTGCAAAATATGCGGTGGGTCTTATTGAAAAGTTTTATCCATCAAAATAACTGCCTTGCTGTTGCAAAACGTAGAAATTGAATTCACTGGGGCGCGCTCAGAAATCTTACTCATTGTCACAGCAATTTGGGTAAGTTGCATTTCTTTTTATTATCGTCATTATGAAGAGAATAGAATGATACTAGAGTCAAGTCTAGCGAGGTTTCTAAACGTACCCTCTGAGATTTCCTTATTTTTTAAGCAATTTTACTCGGAAAGAAGTTGGCTCTTATTGAATAATAAAATTTTGAGAATACCAACGTTTTTCGATATTTCAAATGCAGTGATTTTATATAATATTCATATTTCTTTTTCATTTCAATCTTATTATCGTGATTTCAATTAGTTATGAGTTATGACACGAGTTGGTGTTTTAAAACTTGCAATAATCTTTTTCCCACGAGGTCTTGGCTCTTCCACTCCACCCATTACTTGCACACGATGAGTCCCAACTCAACCGGTTCGGAATCTGATTCAGTCGAGACGTCACTGTCAACAGACGTTGTTAGTCCTCATTTCTTTAAGTCAATGACGATCATTGTACGAGCAGTGAATGACTGTCATGTACCGTGAGTCCCCAATCTTTCGTCTTCTGTACCTCATTTCTGTACTTCGTTCGGAATTTCTTACCCTTTTAACTATTCGTATCTCCAAGACCGTTTAATATTTAAAATGTTAATTAGCTAGTTCGGTGCAACTCCATTAAGGAATAAGGACGTGGCTATATGTAATCACGTGCGATTATTACTATGTGCACGCGAACTAAACTACTGTTTATCAAGTAAGGTCAAGCTGTGACGCCAATTGCACATTCAGGGGACGGCTACAGTATTATTCTTAAGTCATAAAGCCCCATTAGAATGACTACAACCTCACAATTAAATATTAATAATTACAACTGTCTATCAATAGTACAGTCGATATTACCATATGAAAAGAATAGTATTTCCTAAAAAAAAAAGGTATCAAAAGAACATATATCTAGTTAACGAAAATGTGTGCAAGTATTAAATGAAAATTTTTACGTACGATCTAACAAGTGATCTGCATAGCACAGTGGACAAAGTCACTAAGTTTAGTGAATCCAACTGCAAGTAGAGTAGTCCAACTGTTCAGCTGGCACAGACTAGCTGGCATGGTAACTGACCCTAGTATGTACGTAGCCCTATGTATAGTCTGGCCAAGCGTTGACTATCGTTCCGTGAATCCACTTCGTCGAGTAAGGTTTACGATCATCCTCATCCTCTCGTCTGGATCCCGTGATCCCCTTTGGCCATCCACGGAGCCGCTTCGCCCTGGAGACGGATTTTTGCTAAGTACCTACAAGTCTCTGTTGGATTCATAAAAGCGAAGACTGTCTGGAGTAGATCGGTGCCACGAGAGTGCTTTCAGCTCTTTCCTTGCTATTCTTTAGTTGCGTATCTGGGAATACAAATAAGTTACGGTAAATTTTATGCTTTTCTCGAGATAAGAAATTTTTAAGAGAACAAAGATAACCGGTCGTGCAGAGCTACTGTATCATCCGTGAATAGGATGTGCTGGAGGCACAAATTAATTTTGGGAAAGAATGATGTGGCGAGCAGTCTTACAGCGTGTGAAGACCTTTTTGAGATCTTCGAACACGTGTCCATTCGTGAGAACGCATGAGAATATTTTTGCGTGGCAACTCCATTTTACGACTTGCAGACTGTCTCGACGTACACCAAGAAGATACGCGTTGGTGAGGGTTAAAACTTTGTCCACCACTTTCATAGCTCCCTTTTATTCACTACCTGGTCATTCTCCTGCGTCATCTCCATCTTCTTCTAACTACCGACTTCACTCCACATCAGACTACAGTGAGACCTTACGTGCACGAACGCACGCACGCCACGACGTTCAGTACAGTTCTGTACGTTAGTAACCACAGACGCGCGTTCGCACGCACCCACCACACAGTACCAAGTTTTATGCCGAACGCACACAAAAGCGATATGATAATAGGCGACCCTTTGTATACACTGATACTGCAAGGCTACGTCTCCGAAGAGATGCTGAGGACTTGAGATTCCTCCACTGACTCGAGTGATTGAGATAGTTTCGTTCAGATTTCTTTTGATGACGTATCATTTTCCAGACTACGTGTCACACTATCCTTCTTGCAAAGATACCAGACTAGAAAGACCACCGTACGACGAACTCTATTAGTTCACCGAATGACGTGACAATAAAACCAACTTACAATGTATAAAGTTATTCATGACAAACGTACCATCCGAAGGTGGTTCTTCCATATAAAACAGTCAGGCAAACTTGAGGTTGTACGTTTGTTGGGAATAACCCTGTATACCGTCTATCAAATGATATTCTTTATCTACTCCACCGTCAACCGACGTTCCCTCTATCGACAAAGCGTGTCGCGTGCTCCTGTTTACATTCTCCGAGACAGTGTTACGCTTATAATCTTGAAATAGTCGCGTAAGGCTCCACCCCTGCGACGTGCGGTGCCCCACCGTGACTACAGACCTGGTGAACCTCTCAACCAATTGCAGAAGTTGCCACTTGCCGGGTACAGCCTCGAGGCGCCCTGTCACTGATGACGTAGGTAGATTCGCGCGCGCGCATCGTGCACGCTACATCTTCGTAGATGTAACCACAAAACTCCACGTACGTATTACGTTACACCAGCAGTCCCATCTTCCGAGCGAATTCAATTGAAAATCTCCTTGGAATACGACGTGCCCACCACTGTCACGAACTCTTTAAAATACAGACCAGCAACTGACTAGAACTTCACATTTGGACGCGTCAGAATCAGATTCCGAGTCAGAGCCAGTAGTATGCTCCGCGTGAGGACTACCATTCGGTTGAGGTTCCCTGAACGTCCCCCCAGGAGCGCGCCACCGTCGCACGCGAATCGTACCCCCTCTCACTATAACTGTGCCTCACCTCTCCGTCGTGGGGCTGCCCCTCCAACCCCCCAGCCACCAGACCATGCAGTAAGCGATCCTCCTCCCCGTCTCGTCCCACCTCCCCGCCGCCGAACCCGGCGACCAACATGCATTTTGTCGGCGTGCCACTGCTACCAGTCTCTTAGTAAGTTACGGACTGCATACTGGTGAACATCGACGTACGTCTCGACGATTTTTGCCGGTCACACGTTGTCTCATTCCGGATAATTTTACCGTTCGCGTGGATTATACGTCTCTTCTGTTCTCGATCTCTTGTTTCTTTCTCCCTAACTACTACTTTCTTTAGTTAATCTCTGCGTCTGTTGCTATCTCTTCTTCTCGCATGCTTCTTTCAACTATGCTGTTATCACGTCTGTGTTGTATTGCTACGTAGTGCTATGGAACGTTTATTTCTACTATCCAAATACGACATCACTGACGCTTATGTATCGTGTGGTTCTATTTCGCCGGATATGTAAGTTCCGTTTGCGGTCAGAAGTAATAGCAGTGTGTACAGGCTTATACGCAAAGAAACTAATCACATGGTTGCATATTGACACGAGAGGATTTGTAATTGATTCTTATCGATTTGTCTCGCTGGATATTCTTGGCTGCTAACAAAATGAAGTGATAACCATTTTGTCATTGGACTTAACAATTTGTTATACGAATGGCATTAGTATTTATTGTGCGGTGGTGCAGTGACTGATAAAAACTATGACTGTAATATCTTAGATTGAAGAAGACCGATCTAAGTCAGATTGGCGATTTTTAAAAGCTTTTTGCTGGCACACGTGCTGAAGATCGAGAAAAAAGAAGAGAGGAATGGAAAAAATAGTAGTGCGCGGTTCAGCGTTCGTTCGATGACAACTTGTGATAAACGCCACGCATCCAACGACACGACTTGCTGATCATCATCTTCTGGAGGATCCCGATATATAGTGAGATAGAGTCTATGTCGACTGCACGAGACTCGATTACGGTTTGCCAAAAAAAAATATATGATAACATGTTACAGCTCGCAATCCCATTTCGTAATTCTCTATTTGAAACTACAGCAGAAACTGCAGGATAGATCTATCCTTATAAATCGTTCTATTTAGATCGTTGTGTATCAATTTTTTTTTTTACAATTTGGTGACAGTTTTTCACTTAGATCGATGATATTTATGATCCATATTGGTAATTATACTAGATTCATCATTGTGTAGAATAATGTTAGGACGTTGAGAATATAGTTTGGTGGGAACAGCATGGCGGTTCTTTACTTGGCCGGGACCTTTAATCTTTCCCGCGTGAACTACAATGTATTTGTCGGCACGATATGTATTGTAAATATTCGAAACTCGGGGCTGAATTGAAGAATCAATAAACTTTTTAGAAATTTAATTTATAAAATTACGCAAATTACTTTATATTGATGATATTTTTTACTTTGGTTACCCATCGCGGCGGGTTGAACATTATTTGAATCTTGTTGAAACGACGAGGATTTTTTGTTTGTTTTTGAGACCCATTCCGTATTTATTTCTATATTTCCAACACTACCTGAAGCCTGGTAATGTTTCGATTTTTCGTGGAACTGTAAACAAAACTTTTAGTACATTTTTATTTGTGTAGTTTAAAGAGTGTGGAAACGCTGGATTCGGACAGGCTCTGCAGAATTATACTTGCTAATAAACTTTTGCGAAGGGGCGTTAGATACACTCCGCAAGAGTGTTTACGAATTGAAGCACGCGCGAGTACTTGTGGGCTAAACAATGTTGCTGGCTCTAGGCCTAATACCATCCGACGGTGACTGCGGATAAGTGCATTCGCTTGATGCCTTCTCCAAGTTTAGCTTAGACGGCAGCGACCGGATTGACAAAAGACGAATGAAACCTATTTTTAAAGAACAGACAAAAAAACAGCACCCTCAATTATCATAGCATTACGTTTAACAGCTAAAAAACTGTCAGTAGCAACATTAAACACTTTTGAAATTTTGTTTTCACCACAATACAAAAAAAATATTTTCCAATTTATTCCAGAATCAAGAACACTTGGTCCATCTCAAATTTTCCAAAACCATTCCCATGAGTCTTCGAGTATTCCTGAACGATCCGGAAATTTGAAGTAAAAAGTTAAAAAAAAACTCTTTAGCAAGATATCTGCAGTAAATGACCGTGTAATGATAAAATAAAAAATCAAGAGTCTATGACAATGATAAAAGAGGTTGGTGTAAAAATTGAAAAATGTTGAACAATCGGGTTTAACCGAGTGACAAGTCGGTGAAGTGTCAATAAACGTATCCATAGATACTTATACGTATGCGCGCATACGGCTTAAGCTAGTGATAAAAATAATTCCAAGGATTGTGAATAGTGAAAATGGATCCCGGTGAAGATATCTTATCCAGCCGAATGGAGTCGAACGCTTCCTCGTCCTCGAATTCGACTCTGAGTCCGCGTACACCACCGAACTGTGCACGCTGTCGAAATCACAGGTTAAAGATTCCTCTTAAGGGTCACAAGAGGTACTGCAAGCACCGTTACTGCGTATGCGAAAAGTGTCGACTGACTGCCGAGCGACAGAGGGTGATGGCTGCACAAACAGCCCTAAGGAGAGCACAGGCGCAGGACGAGGCCAGAGTTCGGGGACCGGAAGAGGTTAGTCTTTCCTCGTTCCTTAGGGAAGTGAGCTTGCTTAAAAATATACTATTCAAAAAGGATTGGTTGATCTTAATAGTGACTATTGCCAGCAGGTGGATCCAAGACCCCTAGCTGCAGAGGGCAATTGCTTGGCATCGGTACCACAGCCGGCGAGAAGTCTGGAGGGTAGCTGCGACAGTAGCAGTGGAGATTCGCCCATCAGTAACCACGATAGCAACGGGATCCACAATGGTATAAGGGGTGTAGTTACTGTACTAGCCTCAAGAAAGATGCCACCACTGCATCCGCAACCAACGACTACGACACACGTACCCCAGGTACAACTTGGTAAGTCAACTAATTCATCTGTCAACTTATATCTACGCACCCTGTACAATACAATAATAATAATTATGTCAAAAGAGAAAAATTGCTCCTTCGAAAACTTTTCGGCTACCATTCGTTCGTTGCTGTCAAGTAATGACTGGAGTTGAGCGTTGTGTACATATATATTACTGGTGTCAGGTGATCGCAACATCTGCACTTTCTGTAATTTGGATTCGCAAGCCGAAGGCCCGTGTAACGTATTATTTCCGAGAAATTCAACGTTCTTAAGAAGTTTCGCGTAAGATCATTGCATGGAACATGTGTTAGAGTCAAAAAAGAAGGATATCGATGTAAATTCTAGACAATCTGCTTCGTATCCTGCGTCACTCTTGTTCTTTGTTGCATCACGTGTATAATCTAAGCAATTGATAAACTGCTCTCCAAGTGCGCGAGCACGTGCACGTGGAGTCATGAAATACCGTAAGTTTATTTCTGTAAGCAGCGTGTATATTTGTGTTTACCGACAGCCATGTTGTCAGATATACACATTCGGAACGTATCTGTCCTACCTGTTGCATAGGATTCCTTGATTCCTCGGTGTCCTTGCGAAACTCGCCCCAGCCTCCCAACCCCCTCCTGAGAGAAGCACGGAACATTGAGAAAGCGGGAAAATTGAGAGGACCGTCTTAACCCCCTTGGTTCTATCAGACACGGAGAATGTGGGATTAGTATTGTCAGAGGTCATTGCTTCGAGCTTCAACCCTTAACCTTGAAACTTTCTTCTCTAACCTTCTGGCTCTAGCCCTCAAGCCGCAACCCTGGACCTGTCATTAAATTCCCCTGTATTTCTGCCAATGCATTGAATCCCCTACCTTTTCCTATATTCTCACCGTTACCTTCACTCTCACAATTCAAATGAAGGTTCAAGACACGAAATTGCTTGGTCCTTAGATTCCATGCATTCCCACTGTATTCTTATGGTGGTTACGTGATATTTTATTGACACTGCTAAGCCAAGCGTCTCGACCGATAGCGTTCACGGTTCCCAATGTCAAGTCAATACCCATCTTGAGACTTGTGGATATATTGCTGATCTTGCTTTAAAAAAAAAAAAAAAAAAAAATATTAAGAGAATCGTGCATCGTTCTGCTGGTACCCATTTGGATGGAGATGTCTCTTTAGGTAGGATACATGCTGGAGGATCTAGTCTGATTGCAAGTGCACAAGACAGAGAGATATGTATTAGGTAGAAAGAGATATGAAGGAAGACGAGATGAAGAAGACAGAGGGAAAATAAAAGGATGGAAGATCACGAATAACAGTACGAATGCCTTTATAGGTCGGATCCCCATGCACTTGGAATTCTTGGTCTCTTTGTGTTTTTTTTTTTTTTTTCTTTTTGAACTCCTGCGTCAACTATGTTTTATATTACGTGAAACCATGGGAACGAAACGGATTACATATTTTTGTCCCGTGTTCTTGTACCATTTATACAGAGAGTCTCGCTTCAGTCTGGATCCGAACTTCGAAGAGATGCCCGAGTGATATTAAAAGAATACAAGTCGAGTGAAGGATACGGAATAGATCTTCTCTCATGGTGCAATGGAGTAATCCAAGCAAATGATTCCATAGTCTCTTGGTGTGATTTCGACGTGTACTTATTCTCTTGGACAAAGGTAGTTGTTAACGGTATATGAGGAATTCGTGAGCGTCAAGACGCCGCGAGAACACAAGCAAAGAATCCACGAGCATCGCAGTCGAGGCTCTGCCAATATGGCCGACTGTGACGCTTATGTCAGTTCCCGTGGCTTTTACTGTTTTACATCAGCATACACTAGGGTTCTGATATTCTTGGCTTTGCTTGCTCGCTCGCTCGCTCGCTCGCTCGCTCGCTCTGGGCCTTATAATGACGCGAAATAATTATAGAATAAATAATAATTGCGAGATAGTGGGACCTCCTTCGATGCGAGAAAGAAAGACAAAGAACAAAGCGCTGCATTCATCCTCTTCCGTGGAAGGAACGTTGACGCCATTTGCCGTTTTGTCGTTTCTCATTTGTCGTTAAAACGTTCGAACGATCGAACGAACGTGGAGGAATACCTCTGAACAAACCCGTCCCTGTACGTAATCCTCGTAGTCTTATCGTTACTGCTGATTATATTCTCTGAGATATTTCATTTTTCATCTGGTTGTAACGATCCCACGTAATTATTTTTCTCCTACGTCATTTTCATTCCTGTCCTGCTTTTTCTTTCCGGTTACACCTCTCCCCCCCTCCTGCCCCCCGAAGTCACTCGGTACAACCTCCTTCCGTCGCCGCACCCCGTCGAACGTGTCTCTCTTACGAGATTCCGTATATTTTTCTTGAAAATTCGCCGCCTTTCCTAACGGGACAGTCGCGTCGCTTCGCCGCAACCGAGTTTCGACGAAATTCAAGCGACTCTTTCGCTCCACAACACGGCCGAATGTTAACCCTGCTTTTACGAGGCACCCTATTGGCCAGCGGGACATTCGAAGCCGGCTAATATAATACCAACTTATAACTAAAGCCGAAACCTAGGAGCAGCGACTGGATTTTACGAGCGAGTTCGCTTGAAAATTATCGTTATTTTACTTTCCTTCAGTGAAATAGTCTCTCTTTGTGGATCGTGTGCATTATACCTATATCGTCATCTTAATTATTCGGTTGGACTCTGTGATTTCATTCTCCCTTCGTTTTCCTTGTTGCATTCCGAGAACCCTTTGTCCTCCTTTACCGTATCTCTCTTTTTTTCTTCTGAGCTTAGAGCCTTCGATCGTTATTTTATCTATTAATTTTTTCTTTTCATTAATCGCACGAATCCTTCGGACCGTTTAAATTGAATTTTTAAGATTCAAACTTTTCAACGAATCATATTGGTTTATGGGATTATTGCCGACTGATGGCAATGTCAAAGTGAAGCAATGTGACATCGCCGGCAAACACGGGATGCGGGATAGGGAAAGTGTAATGGAGATAGGGAGAGGGGATGCACTGGGTGCGGATCGCGAGCCTGGACCAAGGGTGATTATACGAGTAATGGGGTTGTAAAGTCGGCTTTACGAGCTTGCATTTCGAGGCATTGAGTGCGGCTTTTAATAACCCATCACTCGTCATTACTCGCCGGCAGACTTTGCTCGCGAAAACTTCGTTCTACCTGCCGGTTTTACTTCCAACGCACGAATGCGCCATTAATGCTTATCCTTTATCTTTGTAATCCTTCGGTACGAGTGGTCATCTCCTGGTCATCGCTACGTATTACTTATGGAGCCAATATCTTAAACCTGAACTTTTTTTCTTGGCTTATTTTTCCATTTTTTATCCCTTTCGGATATTGATGCTCTTGCGAAATGTATTTTTTTTTCTTATTTTTTTTCCATGGACATGGGTAATATTTGACTCAGGGTTGTCAAAAAAAAATTTTTTTATTTAAGTTGATGAAAAACATATATAACCTTAAACGGTCCGGAAATTTCTCTTTGTCGCAGTACCGCCAAGGCACACGGGTTTCACGCTACTTTTTCGGTTGACTTTTACGGCGTCAAGTCGGCCGCTTTTCGGAATGTCACTTAACAGGAGCCACCCTTGTTACTAGACGCGTCGGAGAAGTCATTTCGGGTCGCGTGGCACTGGGGGTTGGTTTTACGATTCTCGAGGGTTCATCGGGTTACTGGGATAGTCCTTTCGACTTGCCCATCTCTTTTCTCTGCTTTCTCCGTCTCGCCACTTTTCTTTCGCTCCCCTTCATTCACCCTGGGATACTTATACGAGCGATGCATTTTTCAACGAAATTCCTGATTTTCCTAGGAAAATTTTCTACCCTCTACCCCCCCCCGCCCCGTACCCTCCCACTGACACAACTCCATTTACTCATGCATCAAAAACGATCAATAGAGTTATTACACTCGGCAGAATCTATCCTTTATTTAAGATAGTTCTCCTCGTGTGGATAAGGGAGAATCATCCACCACAACCCCTCGATATAGATGGTGGGGGGTGGGGAGGGGAGGGGGATTTTAAAAGTGAAAAAACATAGGTGGATTTTGATAACTGAAGGGCGAAGGGGAAGATTCCAATCTGTCAATGTAAATAATAATTATTATTATTATCAGTCACCAAGACTCTTCACCTTCAAGATTTCATATCTGGGATTTTTTTCGCAGTCGATTTATATCGATTTCTTATTCATTCATGGTGAACCGTATCTTTCCTTATGACTTATACGTACAAACTTCATTGTCACTGCCGGTACGGTTGCGATTAGTTCAACGTGGATAAGGTATAGGAATTAAGTATTGAATTGTAATCCATCTCGTACCTTGCGTCCGATCGTGAGAGACCGTCGTGACACGGGGGCTGCACTTCTTGTGAATACGGCACTGGGCGAGCGGCGGCGCTCGGAATTCTAGTAATTTTCAACAAGGTCGCAAGCCCCGATGTTTCTCCACGTGACTTTTGCTATTTGCGCAATTGCGATCGCTTATACGCGAGCCGGCCCTGTGGAACTTTCTTGATCCACGATTATATTAATACATTTTGCTCGTGCGAATAAAACATTTGGCACTGTTACTTTTTTCACGTTAGGTGCATTTGTTACGTAGTAACAATTATTGATTAATGCGTCAAAGTTGCGTCGTGCATGGTAATCGATAGATTTATGTTTTGCGCAGATTTTTTTTCTCTCTTTTTCTTTTTTCTTAGACTCTATAACGAGAGTCAATGAATTTTATTGATTCTTTTTTTTTTTTTTTAATTCTTTTAAATGCCTTTTCTATCGGTGCATTGAAATTGCGTGGATGCTCATTAGCAATGGTTACATTGCTGGCATTATATTACATGCGTGGTTACGCAAATACGGCAATTAACATTAATGCACTTTTGTAGAGGCTACTACAATGTACAGTGGCGCTACAGTCTTGTATTTTTATTTTACACTTTTCGCCGGTGTAAGTGTACATCTGTCTACGTAAGATTTATGTATTATATATAATATATAACGGAA